GAACCTGTAGAACCTCCCCAAAACTCGTAGAGAACTCCCCCACCCTGACTTTCCACAGACTTCATAGCTCCCCTAGGGAGTATCTGTAGATCTCAGAGAGAGCATATTACGCTTACCATTTCTTTAGGGTTCAGGCCAGACTGATACCTATCTGTGGCTGAGAAATAGTGAAGGCCCCACAAAGTGGACTCAGCAGGGACAAAAATACCCATATACGAAATTCAGCCTCCCTCCCTTCTGTTTACCTCTGCCTCTGTACAGGACCGCCAGAACTTGAGCTCCAGGAATGTCGACGAATTACAGCATTTGGTCCCTGATGGGCAGGCCCTGCGGGTACAGGCAGCAGTGCCTGGGCATCATGGTGGGGGAAAGCTTGGGGTACTAGGATGGCTGGGCCCTGAACTGGAGGGGATGAAGTTGGGGAAAATCCAGGGAATACAACCTGGCCCCCAGATCCTCATCTCTGCTAGTAACAGGCAAAGGGGAAAGGGGAAAAGAAGGCAAATCAGAGTGAAGTGCCAGTCCCTGCCTTCTGACTCCTCTTCTCCCTCAAGTGTTTTGTAAATCTTAAAACTCTCTATAAATGTGAATTATTGTGGTTATCATTATTAATCTTTGGAACCCAATTTGATTCTTACGTAATATTCCTAACTCTATTTTTATTGCTTCTCCTCAACAGATTATCCCAGTCCCCAACACCCACCCTCTTCTCGTCTTTGTGAACCCCAAGAGTGGTGGGAAGCAGGGGGAGAGGTGAGTGGAAATAAAGAAGGAGGTAGATTCATAGTTTGGAAACACTGCTGGAAGAAAAGTGGAAGAAGTCTTCCTAGGGATTAGAGAAGGGAAGGGGGGCTGGTTGAAAAATGTTTCAAGAGAGGATAGAAAAAATTATTCCATGAACCTCATTTTCTCCACCCCTTACAAACCTAGAGTGCTTCGAAAGTTCCAGTACCTACTGAACCCACGACAGGTTTACAACCTTGCAAAGGGGGGTCCCGAACCAGGGTGAGTACAGGAATATTTCTGAGCTTGCTCTAAATGTCTATGTGTGTGTTATGGGGAACAGGGATGAGTGTGTGGGAAGGCTGGGGTACCTGTGCTGACCCTGAGGAGCTGGAATTCAAAATAGAACCTCTAGAGCTGCCTCTAGAACATGCCTGCACAACATATGACCATGGGCCTGCTTTAGAACTATCTTCTTTTCTCCTGCCTCTATACCTTTAAACACACAAATTGATATCTTTTCCTGTGCTATGGGGGTCTCAAGGAAGATCCTTTGTTCCCCAGTTGTCAACAAGCCCCTCTTAAAGTCTGTTTTCTTTATACAATTTCAGATTCTTCCCTTTCTCTGCCATCAATCTGACTTCAGTTCTGCTTGTTATAAACAAAACCTAGAGTGGGATGGTGGAGGAGGGGATCAGCAAGAAAAAAAATCTCATTGAATCCGGGGGGTCAAGGAATTAGGGTCCTTCCACCCTTACGTACCATCATGACCCCCTCCTCCCTTCTTTCCTCTGTCTCAGGCTCAAGTTCTTCAAGGACCTCTCAGATTTCCGGGTGCTGGTATGCGGGGGGGACGGCACAGTAGGCTGGATCCTGGATGCTATTGGTCAGTGTTAAGGGAGAATCGTGGGGTTTTGGAGGCTGGGAGAATAGTGGTCCTTCTGGGTTGACTCTCCACTCCTGTCTCTTCTATGTGCAGACAAAGCCAGCTTCCCCA